AGATCCATTTCACCGTTTATTGTACATGTTAGACACGTATGTTAGACACATTACAACTAGCGCGTGATATACTTTTTGATCTTTATTCGAGAAATTTATCTTTCGAGATAGGGATTGAAACTTTCGATCGATCGTTTAGCGAAATGAAAGAAACATTTTAAAAGTAAGTATGAATTAATCGAAAGAACGCGACTTACAGATTGGGAACCATTAGTCTAAACGATGCTAATGTCGTGTTAATGAACGAATCGATAATAACAATATGCATGCGTTATATCTACGCGCAACAAGCTCGAGCGGTATACATAAATTTTTAACGCTTAAAAACTCACGCACGACGCCAACTAGAACAACGTTCTCTATTGTGTTATATGTATCTTAGACCGTCTCGAGAAGATAATCTTGGAAAAAATAGGCTACACGATCTTTTATCAGTCTTCCGCGACGCCACGACGAATTTTCTCGATGGTGAGGTTGGCGATAACGCATCACCTTTGTGTGAGTGTAAGTTTAATATGCATCTAGGAAGGATCGCGAGACACGACGCATTGTAATTAGTTATTATTCGCGATACGTTGATATCGACACATCGTAGCTTCGCGGCTTCATTGATGAGAATTGAAGAATGGCGGCGACAGGATGGAAAGTAGCCATTATTAGTGCGTATGATGTACTCGGAAGTTGCATTATTTCGCAATACGATGTTTATCTAATTGTTAAGCAATTTACAATAAACGTGCGTATCGACATCGATGAATCATAGCATGAGAAATACTTTGAAACAACGTATATAATCTAGCTTTTTTCTTTCAAATCTACGATTAATCTTCCAACACTACAGCCAGAGAAGACAGATTTATTTATAACAATGTCTTAACAAGATTCTCAATTTAGATTTTATTTTTGGGAAAAAAGCAAGATCGCGTTAATCCAGTAGTAAGACCCGTAATACATAACCGTGCATTATGGAAACGAACGGTTATAAATCCGTCGGTGAAAACAATCAGTCGTGTTCCATATTAGATGGAAAAAAAGGATAGTAGTCCGTCATCAACGAGATACTGCATATACCGTATATGCACGGGACGCATACTGGATATATCAGATAAGAACGTTCGCGAGGTCTCGTAACTCCTTCGTCCGGGTAGGAGGCGTACGGTTCGAAAGCGGCATTAAACGGTCTTTTCTCGTTTATTTTTCAGTGAGCGCGAGATAGCGTGGTTTGACGTGAACCACCGCTGCTACCGCCAGCGGTGCCATCTCATGTCTTACCCATTCGCGTACGAGAAACCTATAATTATTCTTTCGAACGAGATCGTGGGCGAGTTTGTGCCGTCGTGCATACTCGCGACCGTAATTTAGACTTCTCTTTCGATCTTTTCTTTTCGCTTGTCAGTTCCAGATCTTACGATTTCATTCCAATCGATTTGGCTAATTCATTTTTTTTTTTTGAAACTATTTTTGGATTAAATTTTTGAATCCTTTCATAGTATGATTGTATGGAAAAAATACTATACCAATTTTAGAGAAGAGATTCGATAGTCGCGAAATTATAATATCAAAGTTGCGGTGTTAAACGTTCGAGGAATATTCTTCAATTGATAGGCTGCGAATCATCGAATCGATATTTTCTCGTATTTATTGTCAGGCTTCGAATAATCGAAACATTTTGGTCTATGATTTCTGCGCGGTGCATGGCTTGGGATACGTGATATCGACAAGATATCAAAAGCCGTTTTCCCACGGGCGACGTTGCTCGGAGAGTACCGGGGATTATCGAGCTGCGATGATTATACATCATACGCACCACTGTTATTATACGGAACGTAGAAACAGAACCGTTAATTAGCCGGTACACGCTCCGCTGACACAATCGATCGAGCCATATTAATTGAAATCGACTTGAACTTGCTCGGCTGGAACTTTCGGTGTGAAAGTAATACGAGCAAAACTATCCGAATCGATCCGTTTCAATCAGAAATTAATTAACGATCGATAAAATTGATTTCCATTTCAAATTCAAGCAACTTTTTTCTATTCCGGTTTATCACGAAACGATATCGTATAAATTCATATACGCAAAATACAAAAATATCAACGAAAATTCTCGAGGAATTTGTAAAATTAGGAATCGTTTTAGGTGCTTTAATACGAAGCATCATTCATGTATCGCTTTATACGATCGAGAAAACTTTCTAAAATAAAATACACAATTTTTCGGTTTATACGCAATTATACACAAGTGGAGATAACTATTCGGTCGTCACGATCAAGTTTCGTGGATAGAATCACCAATGAACATCGTTGCGGGAACGCACCGTTAAAGCATCATCGATTCCTTGTTATTACTGGTGCCTGAAAATAGACTTTACCGGAAACTACGTACCGCTATACTCACCATCTGAATCGTGGTGTCTCGCGGAACCGAAAGCATCGAGATGCGTCCCGCCTGTTAATGTTTTCGCCGTTGTATCTCGCCGACTTCCCGTCTCGGAACTTCTTTCGTCATTTGGGACACGAGTTTATCGGAAGTTCCATCGCGTTTTAATCACCTGTTTCAACGGGGAATGTGAACCGTTATCGTTTCGAGGACTTAGAAAACGACTCGAAGCGAGCTTTCGTGGTCGAACGATGGTCAACTCGCGAGAATAGAGGGAAGGGAGAGAGCGGCAATTTCGCGGGAATCAGAGGTGGAAGCTGACAGGCAAGTTTCCGCGTTTTCAGGATTAGCAAACAAACAACTGTTAACGCGACGCTGATTCGTACCATGATGTTTACACGCGTCGCGTCGTCATCTTCTTTTTATACCGTAGACATAGTTTTAACGCGATTACATCGCGCGTACGTACGTACGTACGTAAGTTCGCTCACAATTACGAGGCTCGCATACACACCCTATGCACATATTTGCACGCGGATCTACGTGCAAATATACGGGCGCGCGTGCATGCGCGATTTCGACGCCGGCGTTTGTGCGTGCCGCGTCGCGACAGGGATGTTCTTGAGCGCGGGTAAATGTTTATCTTCGTGTCGATGCATATTAATAATCGCTTTTTTTATTCTCTTTTCTGTTGTATCTCTTGAAAATGGAAGAAAATAGGATAATATCGGTCAATTAAATATATATTTTTTAAATGTTGTTTTATCCGTTTTGTCGATTCGTATGTTCAATTAATTAATACGTGATTTTTAATCGTTTCGTGCGAATGAAAATTTGACGTGTGAAAGAAATATACTTTTTTTTTGTTCTTTTTGTAAATGGTATAACAGATAAAAAAATATTCTAATTTTTGTTTATAATCTGGTATAACGCGATTAGACAATTTTCCTTAAATATATTACTCGGTTCTTCTTTATTTTGGAATTCTTCTTCGTTAGATCAGTTTCGCTTCGATTCAAAGAGCCCCAATGTTCGTCCTATAATTAGGCGAGGCTTTCGAGTGCAAACCGCGTCTTATAGAAATATTGTTCTCACGACTTGCCAACACTGGTGCGTCTTCATCGGGATCCAAACCATGACATCAGTGACCAACAAACAAGCACTGAATCTTAATTCGACGAGGACTTATACCTGGATCGATAATGCTTAGAAAACAAGCTTGCATTTGGAAGAGGCCAGTCATCGAAAATCAACGTCGGATTATTATATAGTTAGAATTCATTTTCGGATATCAAGGATAATGACTGTGCAGAAACGCGGAGTATACGCGACTATTCTTTCACGTACACGAAGAAAAATAAAAATTAAGAGGAAGAGGGTTCGAACGATAGCACACGTGGGGTCATTTTTTTTTTTTGGCTTTTGCATCGGATATAAGGTCGATGACCTATCAAGTTTTCGTTTTCGTTTTTTCGAGACTTTCAAACGATTATAACGACGAATAACGAGGTCATGGTTCTTCGTGTCGTAAAACATCCGAGTTCTTACTAATATTCTTTGACAAACGTTTCCTCCGACTAATTGCGTCGTCGAGAAAACGAGTCCGGGATTAGAATCATAGAACTGATTATTCTCGTTTTCCCCTTTCCACCATCATCGTGGCGAGATTTACGACGGTCATGGTCCGATTGCGAGTTTAATAAGGCGCGTAGTTGAGAATGGAACGCGTGGCACGCATGGAAAGAATTGGTTGTATTCCTCGGTAAAATTTTCAGCGATGAATTCATTTTAATTGCGAGGACGCGCCGCCTCCTACTCGTTCTTCGCAGCTCACCGATGTTTGTTTAACCCCGTTGAGCGTATTGCGCTGTATACTGGAAATTTCAGCCACCATATGAACGCGGATCGTGCAAAGAGAAATTTCGAGAAACATTGGAACTAATCTGGCGGATTTCCATGGAAAATACTTGTTTTCCCTCGTTGGAGGGAACAAAACTTTTTCATCGAGCGTAAGAAGATCATAGAAACCGAGCTACAGCTTTCAACTGATTCAGCGTTCTTGATTCCGCAAAGACCTCGAGTAAATTTCAACGAAAGAATCGGTTTCCATGGAGCGATTTTCCCCTGAAATTCGTTATTGTCTCCATCGAGCTTACCGCAAGTCCTTCACACCCACGCAAACTCGCGACACCGGTCGTAAACTAACGAGCAGAAAATCCGCAAAAACGAACGAACAATTCGATAGCTGATAGCATTTCCAAGATCGATACTCGAGAGGTATGCGGTAACCACGATTGAGAAAGAAGATCCCCTATTCTATTTCCATTTCTATTTCGTGGCACTGTGTGCGTACGCGTGCAATTGAAGAAATAAGCTGTAGATCAGAGGGTTCAGACTGGGTCTTTCCCATTTAGACTGTGAGATGCATTAGAGGTCGGAGCTGATGCATTGGTATCGGTATCGAACACGCACGATTCCTAGATTCGTTATTACGCGTATCTCTTTATTTTCACCAGGAATTTCTCTTCTCTCTCTCTCTCTCTCTCTCTCTCTCTCTCTCTCTCTCTCTCTCTCTCTCTCTCTCTCTCTCTCTCTCTCTCTCTCTCTCTCTCGCCATTTTCCATTTGTTCGCGTATATTTTCTTTATAGTAGTATCAAGATATATGGGATGAACAAGATCTACTATTCTATCGATGCTATTGTATCGAATATTTACGAGCCGAGCGTAACCGGATATTTGATTCTACGAAATAACAACGCGAAATTGGAAAAATTCCTCTTTTTTTGTTCACTCGATGCATGGGAATCGGAGAATAGAAAATGTTAGAAATACTTCTCTTCCGAAACATTAACGGTAGAAATATTGAGTCGATAGAAACGTAATCTCGATTTTTACGAGTAGAAATACTCGTATTTCAAGCTTCAAAATCATACGCTATCATGTACATGAAAGAGAATACTATCTTTATAAAATTTATCATAAACAAAATGATATAATAAATACACGATGCGCGAAACTTTTGAAACCGTTCATCCTCGTAGCAGAGTCCGAAAATCTCGACACAACCGACTCGATAATTGACTGGCAAATCTCTCCAAATGCGTTTCGAGCTCCCTGTACATCGGTGCACGCGCTCTGCGAATGTCGTTTTATTTCAAAGCTATGCAAACAAAGGCCGGTAAGAGGGTATACGATCGATATACGATAAAAGCTTTTGCGCAACCGTAATCGCATCTGTAATTCTATATCATTTATATGGTTGGTTGCGTGCCGGACTAGGCATTGTATTCGTAAGTCTCTTTTGTCTTTGGTGAAATTTTTCCACCTGTGTGAACGAGGCCGATCCCGGCGTGGAGTGTGGCAGAAAACGCGAAAACGAGTGCGAGGGGTCGAGAGATCGAAATCGACGAAAGGGCGAGAGATAGCGTCGCTTCCGCCGTTCTCGAGCCAGAAACAACAACGATATACGTGAGCTATCCGACATACGTGCTCGCCGTTCGTTAAATGAGCGAAACGCGCTTGTTCGACCAAAACAATGGTCTTGTACGATGGCTACGTGTATTGTGTGCGAGCGCATCAAAGGGCCACGCGAGGCATAGCAAAAGGGTTCGAACACCAAGGTAAAAGTCGATTGGAAGTCACGCCGCTCTGTCCTCGGTATCCATGCCATCAACAATCGTATCCGGTCGTGGCTAATTATTTCCTGCTGCGGAGCAAGAATCGAGCTTTCTCGATTCGTCTCTCGATCGGTTTGTTTCGACGATCGTCGCTCTTTTCGAATCGATCGACCGGCGGACGACTTATCGGACGACCTTCGATTCGACGATTTTAAACGCGTACAGAAAATCGTGGCGAGAATTTTAATGATCCGAGAGGGAGGAGTTAAGAGGCGACAGATAGGAATGTAGAATTTGGAAGGGAAACTTTCCTTCTCTTTTACTTCTATACGACTATGTACGATTCCAAGAAACATGCTTTCGCTCTCCCTCTAAAGGGTTCGTTTGTAGGAAAAGTGAATCAAACAAAACGGTGAGAACGTTTGCACAGGTGGACATCTCTTGGAGACATTTCTTTCTTTCTTTCTTCCTTCCTTTTTTTTTTTTTTTTTGAGATAAAAAAACCCTTCCCTCGTAGCGATATTACCACGACGTCTTCGTTTCCCAAAAAATTGTCGGGCTTATCGCGAGCAACAGGTTAACAGGTTCGGTCGGAGATTGTAGGTAGTGTGACATTAAAATGTTCACACTTCCAAGTCTGGTTCTCAGCGGCAACGCGCATTCTGCACGGCTGCCCTTTCCGGCACCACTATCTTGGATCGGCGCCTTTGTACGTGACATTCTCGACGCGTGTACCGGCCAAGGAGGCGAGATTCCCGTCCACGGAGACGAAAGGTAGAAATTTACGGTCATTAAACGGCGTTCAAACGGTCGGTCTCTCTTTCTCTCTCTCTCTCGAGAATGGCCTCTCGACACGGCCTCGCGTTTGCCCCGCGTGTGTCCGTCTTCCATGGATCAAATGAAAACGTAATTGCTATTAAAGCGTTTATTCGTATTACAACTTCCATACGCTGTGCATCCCATGCACGATGCACGATTATCGTGTGTGTGTTTCGAGGTCGAGAGAGAAAAACTTCCTTCCCCGTTCCTTCCAACTCGTACGTGGGAATTAAATCTGTTCGAAAATGTTGGAAGTCGAAGGTCTGATCGTGGGTGCGCACGATTCTCCTCGCAATTCCGATCCTTCCGGTATCAAAGGTTCGCGTTTATTGCTAGATTTCGATTCGCGAAGAAGCGATAAGGAAGGGAGGCAGGGATCGGAGGCGATAAATCGAGTTTAAAAGCTGTTTCGAGTGCGCCTCTCGAGTGCCAAGGATCTAGTTTAAGAAGAAAATTACGAAGAGATGATCCATCTCATCGGGTCATTCGCGGCGAATTTATGTCCAGGTTACTCGTCCTCTAGGAACTAGATAACGGGCCACCGAGGTGGCGATTTCCTTATCGTATTATTTACGACATTTCCAGCTGCTCGAGGAGAGAAAAAAGACATTCCTGATGGGATCGGTGCACACGGTTATACATCGAATGCTATTCCTCTGATGGCGCCTGCCCTGTTTGTTGCCCTCTTCCTTCGATTTAATCGATTTAATGACCGATGACAGCGGACGATGAAATCGGTCAAACCATGCTTTCGTGGCAGCGTTAACGAGTAATTAGTTTAGGTTTCCGATAACGAGCAAACCAACAGACTTCCCGAAGTAGATAAAATTAGAACTCGAGTTGCCCTCCAGTTTCCAAAGAAAATTCTATTTCACGATCTACGAAAAAGATACTGTCGCTACGATTTCGAAAAAAAAAAAAGAAAAAGAAAAGAAAAAAGAAAAACACTCTCTCGTTAACGTGCATTCGAAAAAAATCCCCCATCCTTGTGTTTCTTATTCGTTTACATTCGCTCACCTTCTTGCCGCGCTCGTTTACGACCAGCTTGGACCAAGCAAGAACCGGGTGAATTCGCCTTTTCGTTTATCGTCCTTAAAAATCTCTAGATCACGATTTTTCTTCGAAACTTGGAGCACTGGCTTGAAAGGGGGACTTTTCGAGACGGTGCAATACCGGGCACAAAGGCGGCGTTTATACCCGGCGGTGTAAATAATAGCCACGGTGGAAAAAGCACGACTCTCTCGTAGCTGGTACAACTCCCCTCTCGCGGTTAAATCGAAAGATCGCGATTTGCAGCAAGGTACTTCGACCTGGAGAAAGGGTGCACGAGGGAGTTGGAAACGCTCGCCGCGGAAAATCGGTTCGTTTTGCCGCAGATTGCGCGGAGTTGGAGCGCGCTGCTGGAAAAGGCAATCGGTAATCGTTCCGGCCGAGCCTGAACGCGCAACATCGTAGATGCATTTACCTGTTGGTTATTTTTGCGCCAACTTGCGCGAATTGGAGAACGTTACACGTTAATGGCACACATGTACGCACGTACATAAGAATCGCGAATGGTAGGTTTCCGAAGGGTCGGCAAAAATAGATCACGAGGCAAGTGGAATTCGATGTCCGATACCCTTGGTAAGGGAAAGGAAAACGACGAAACGAGAGGACGGAATTTGCTTTTATCGGGAGTAGAAGTTTAGAGGCTAGTTAACGCCCCCTCGTCGATCGTGAGCTACCAACAGGAAATTAATTGATTTAAGTGGCTGTTCAAGAGCCCGTCGAACGCTCGAATATCCTCGAACCGATACTTAACCCGGATTCCACGAATATCGATGGCATATCCACGTGAAACGCGAAAGTAATTTCTTCATCTGCGTGGCACGCAACCGGTGTTCCTCCCTCCCGATCGCAGCGAACCGTACGCTTATCTCGAAATTGTTAATTCTCCAACCTGGATCTCCTTTAATTGCCGATCTTTCAAACACTGTGTGTATAAGAAATAAAGCGGAGCAATCTTCGGAGTTACTTCGATTTTCCAAGATCGAACGTCTTTAAGCCGTTTCTTCGAACGTTGTTCTATTTTGCCTCTACTTCAGTTCAGTCGTGAACTTTATGGACGACGTTTAACGTTTTGCATTTCGACGTTTAACATTTCATTCCGCCAAGTCGCGGTGCCAACGACCTTCTTTCTATCGACAGGGGTGGTAGTAGGGGTTTTGCTGGCGGCGCCTAACTCTCAAAGTGTTCCCCATAGGTCAGTGAAATGTCGCGACCAGAGGCCCGATCCGAAAGCGGCCGATCTCTGCTAAATGATCCCCGGACGATGGTGGGGATCGAAGAAATAAGAGCGACACGACTTTAACGGCGATTCCTGTGGTGGCCTTAAAGGCAGCGGCCGCGTTTCACGGAGGCGAACCCGTCTCGTAACTCGCACGCTCGTATATTATAATATAGCCGGTCGTAGAATCGAGGATCTCGAAGACGGCCCCGGAGCCAAGGACCGGTTTTTAATAATTAACATATGCAACGTTAATTTTACGGAATTATAATTTCACGTCACTCGGTGGCGGCAAGAGAACCCGATGGGCGAAACGTGTACCACGCGTTTATATACGTTAGGTACGCGTACACTGGCTAGAACGAGGAAAAGGGAAGAAGGACATCGAGTGTGCAATTGACGAAGGCGAGAGAGAAGGTCGGGATGTGGATCGTGCGCGCACGTCCTGTCTTTCAGCTACCGGCTTCGAAGATCCGTGTGCAAGAAGAAGAAAAAAGGGAAAAGGGGGGAAAAGATGGAAAAGAGTCTTTTTTTTATTTTTTTTTGCGTTTCGGAGTAAGGTGAATTAAAGGAGTCGGTAGGGTAGGCTCGTTATAATTTTTCCTAGCCAAGATTGAGATAATTTCCCGAGTCCGGTTTTATTACGATATACGAACGATTCTAATTGTCGGTCATTAACCATTTAATAACTATTGTACGTGCGCTACGTATTAAGGTTTCGACATGTCCGGTGGTCTCTGTCGCGATCTCTATGTGAATGTAATCGCTAGAACGATTAAATCGTGTAACGAAACATCGACTTAATTTCGCTGTAGAGATGTAATTTCACTACCGGCCGAGGAAACTGACAGACAATCGTTTAAAAGAACGAAGACGTTCCCCTTACGGTCATTTTTCTTCTTCCTCTTTTTCTTTCATATCTTTCCCTCCATTTCTCTCTTTTATCCCAGATCTATTTCTTTCAACGTTTTTTTTTTCTTTTTTTTTTTTTTCCCCGAATATATTTCTCCTGCGGGATAACTCGAAGAGTCAAAGAACGAAGATTTCAAAGGCGGCGTGACGACACAGAAAACGCAGAAACGAAGATTTCACGGTGTTGCGATAATCGTAACGAAATGGATTAGATTACAAACGGTTGATGGTTTAAAAAGCACCTTGTTGAAAGACCGATCGTTTTCATCGTAATAGACCTTACGTCGATCAAATCTTTCTAAAACTATGCGATTTACGTTTTCTTTAGCGTCGAATAGAATTCAATTTAAGAGGGATATAGTATTTACGTTTTCTACGAACCTCATTAGACGGTAATTTCATGGTTCATTACGATATTCATACGTCGATCTATTCGAGAGAGTGTAAATAGGAGGAAAATATGTTTCTCCTATTGATGAACAAAAAATAGGCGGAAAAACGATGTTTATGGAACAAGAAGAACAAGTAGAGAAGAGTTATGTACTAACAAACTGGTTGCGTGCGGTATACCTATGATGAAGATGGTTCATCTACATACTACGTGTCTTGTTAACTGCACGCACGACTGGCCATATGTGTGTGGCTCTTGCGTTCGCGTGAAACCTAATATACCGAAAACGAGTTAAACGGATGGAGAGAAAGAGAGAGACGAGAATATAAAGATGCACAGGTGGAACCAGAATAAGGAAAGTTCCGAAAATGGATAAAAGATACGCCGAAGAGCTTGGAAACTGCATTCTTTGATACTCGACCACACGTGCTTTGAGTCAGGTCTGGGTTGGCGTTCCTTGGAGAATCTCGCTCTTTTTCATTCTTTCGTTTCGAGATTAATAACGCTTGACACATTGAAATGTTTCCAATTTGTCATCCATGTTTACTCGTCACTGTTCTCCAGTTTTAACGAACGTAGCGCGACTTAATTTGGAACAGTTTCGAATCTCACCTGGCTCGAGAAGGTGATTACATAATGCATTCGTTCTCGTTTCGTAATACGCTGGAGGAATTATACGAAAGAAACTCTCGTAGCTTCTGTCGTTAATTAATCGAAATGTAGGTTCCACGGTATCGAATTCGCGAATCAAAAGAGCGGAATATAGGTTAACGAAGCGGAGGATATTTAAGATTGCGAAGCTGATGACTCGAGGTCGAGTGTGAAGCGCGATTGCACCTGGTCGGTCCATTGGTGCACGCGTCCTCAGGTGAGAATGTGTTGTCGATGTGTTGTCGTGGCTTTCTTTATTCGTCTCACGTACCACTCTTCTCGCATCCTCCCACACTTCTAATAATAACGTTACGAAGAGGTGTGTATTTATAGCCATGTCACATTGTCGTACCTGCTGCTTAAAAAAGCGCAATGTATTGACGAGTATAAAGTTCATCATTCGGATTAATTTTTCAGTTTTTAGATTTTTGATTTTATTCTAGCCCATCGGCTCCTACCAGTTATAAGGATAACACATTTTTATTTTTAATTAATTAACGCACGAAAATTTCATTCGTTTATTTATCTTGGTATAATTATATAATTATAACAAATAGAAATGATTCATAATGTATTAGAGCTTACTAAAAAAAATATTCATCGTGTGATTCATCGTATAATTATATATTTATGTGTATGTATATAAATATTTAGATCTCGAGATTTATCGACCAATTGTTTCCATTTCTCATCTTTTAGTTGTAAAAATTAGTTAGGTCTTTTAGTTCTAAAAAT